TCTTCAGCATTTGATCCGCTGTCACAATAGAGTATTTATCTTTCTGTGGTTTAGCTTTCTTATTAAGCCATTTCATCTAAGCATACATAAAGATTTCAGAGCTTAACCTACTGAAGCTGAAGCAACAGCCTTAAACGAGTATTTATTTGTACCTTACACTTTTTGTCTCACCACTTGTGGAGTTGTGGGATTACACAGGATTTGTTATTGTTGTTTTACACTTTTTGTCTCACCTTGACCCACCAAGTTACTACTTCATTGTGCAGTAAAGCTCCTAAAATTTAGACTATTTGGCAAATAAACCAAGGTAGCTATGACGAAAAATTTACAAACTTCAAACCAACGAAAAAGAAGGTTTGCATTTTACAAACATCAATAGCAACTTTCAAAATGCAAATTTCCAGAAACTAACTCAAATACCCTAACTTGAACATTTAATTTCCTACATTTTGGTACTACCGCTGTAAGCCTAATCAACCTTCCCCTTTCCTCTACCCTTTATATAATTTTTCTTACGACGGTGGTGTCCGAGCTAGCTCGCGTACCTCGACTATTCCACCGGGTACTTTCTATCTCCCACCAGCACAGGTACCGGGTAACTCTATCCAACGCCTATACATATGGAAAAAATCATGTAGTGTTTTTACCCTATATAATTATTATATCTTGAGACGATCCAAATTTGGACAAATTCTCAATCTCAATTTCATTTCAACAAATAACAAAATATCAAAATAATTTCAGTATACTCATGTTGACTGAATTTCAGATGAAGTCCATATTTCTACAACTAAGTTCCAATCCCATCAACATTGAGTTTTTAATCTTACCCTTTTCATCTATACACAAAATGACATAACCCCTTTTGATTTAACTCATCAAGATTGAGTTTTAATCTGACCCTTTTGATTTAACCCATCAAGATTGACTTTTTAATAAAACCCTTTTGATTTAATCCATCAAACATTGAATTTTTAGTCTTTATTGACCATTTTCAGATGCAAATTTTGCATTTAAATCAGATAAAACGGTTCAATGAACTGAACAAAGTATAGCATAAAGAGCAAAGTAGTTTTAAAAAGGGAAACTGAAATACAAGGTAATTACTAAAACATATGAGTATAGATCAGAGAAAGGGGACTTACTGTTGAAGTCTTGAGAAATTAATTCATGGAGATAGGAAGAAGAAGAAGAAGAAAATGGTGGGATGGTACAGACAGAGAAAAGTGTCGGTAAAATCAAAAATGACTGCTGCGTGCTGCCCCACAAACCCCCTCCCTCCACACCCCCCCCCCCCAAAAAAAAAACCACATTTCAATTTTCTTTTGTTACTTTTTGTCAATTAGTGTCAATAAAACCTTCAACGATAGGTAAATATGAAATTCATAAAGATGGCTAATACGAAAGATAAAGAAAATAGTCTCTCTCAATTACCAAAAATTTAATTGTTTAGTTAGCATCTATTATTTCTAATTTGCACATAAGATATCGGAATATATAGTGGCTGTATGTGGATTTTGTAACGTTAACAACATTATAAATCAACTCTAATAGTGAATTTTATTACTTTAACAACATTTACAATTTAATAGAAAGAAAACTAAACTCCTGGGTTCTAAAGTAAAATATAGACAAGTCGAGTAATAGGCAATTATACCACATTAATATTATTATGTCAGCAGAAGATTTAATACTTAAAATTTTATGTTGGTGCCCAATTTATATTTGTGCCCTTGGTTCAGGTTCAAATCTTATCGAATGCCCTATTTTCCCAAACTGAAAAATATGGCATAACCATTTAGCTCCCGACATTCTAACTTATTTTTTTTGGGCTAAATAAATCCACACACGTACACACATGTGTAATGATATTTGAAAATAAATGATCTCGAAGATTTGTACAAAACAAATGAATTAATAATCGTCGGTGCTAGAAAATTTAGAATGAGCCTCTCCATTTCATCGAGTTCCAAATAATAAAATTTTTACTGTACCAATACTTTTTTTAAAGAAGAATAATTAGAATTTTGCTGTGTGTATGAATAATGAAACATTTTGCCTTTGGTCTTAGCTTTTAAATCATTAAATAAACGTAAGGCCATAAGTTTGCATAACAAACATTAAGATGAGTATTAGTAGAATTGAAGTTGTTATCAGAGTGCGCGTACATTATGGATGTCAAGGTTATGCAAATGGGAATAATTGTGTTTCCGTAACTAATTTTTCTATCTTAAAATACTATGGCTTTGTCGTATTTCTGAATTTTCAAGGCATGAGAGACCTTTGTTTGTGGCAATCTAGCTGGTATACATAGGGGCGTATGTGGGGCATACTCGATGGGTTCAATTGAACCCATAACTTTCGACGTAGAGTAAAAATTTATTAAAATTGCAAAAATAATAAATATGAACCATAACTTTTAAAAATATAATGGGTTCAATACTAAAAAATTTAAAAGTTGAACCCATAGGGTTTAAATCCTGGATCCACCTCTGGGTATACTTGACTTGCTTTATTAAGGCTATAAAGAACATTATTGGACTTCAAGAAATAATTGTATGTTTCTTTATTGAGTTTCCTTACTACTTTATTATACGAACATCCATTACATTAATATGTTCCAAAAAATAATAGCATTTTCATGCTTTTTGTATCTACCGTCTTTTCCAAGATATATTTTCTTAACAAGAATTATATTATTATTCTCCGCGCAACGCGCGGGTACGGATACTAGTCTATATAGAATAGGAGAAGCAAAACCACTACATTAAGACAGGTGTCTTAACTACAAAAAGCCAAGTGACATTGTTAAGACAAAATAAACTACTTTTCTAACTAACTTTTTATTAAATTTTAAATTTTGAATTAATTGGTTACACTACTTTGAATTAATAAATATACATATCTTATAATTATCAATAAAAAACGAAAATACAAAAAAAATTCTACTCATTCAAATTAGAGTTTTAAAATTATTTTACAATAAAAAACAAAAATAACAAAAAATAATAAACTACCAATTTAAATTGGAGAGTAATTTCTTCCTAATAAGTTGTAGTAGTGTGNCGATCTAATATGTTCAAACAAGCCCGATTAGGATTTAATTTAACTAATATTATTTAATAATGACCGCGCATCGCGCGGGTACGACTACTAGTATAAAAGAGAAAGAGAGAAAAAGGTGGTTGGCAAAATTAATAACACTAATAGTTCTGCAGACACAAAGATTCAAAATTGAGTTTATTCTTTGAAAATAGAATTCTTATTAAATAAAATTGTAATTGCAGTTAAACATTTATAATTCGAAATATACAAATATATATTAAGAATTAGAATTACGAAAATGATTTTTTTTTTAATATTGAGAAATAAATAATTAAATAATTGACAAAATAAATCCAATGTTTTTTTTAAAAAAATTCATTATATAAGTAAAAAATTATTTTTATGTTAACACGTCTTTCAGGATATATAAATTTATTTCTAAAATGATAGAATTGGCGGTGAAAGGAGTCATAAAATAGGATAAAGTCACTTATACATGATATTAAGAGCCAAAATAATTAATGCAAACTCCATAATAATCAATTGGATAGTCATTTAACTATTTCTTAAGTCATCTAATTAATCTTTTGGCGGTAAAGTTATTTAATTAATTTATTAATATTTAGATATAGTCATTTAGTTAATATGTTATTTAATATTTAATTCCTAATTTATAACTCCTAAATTTAAGGCAAATTCTCAATATTCAAAATTTTATGTTACGCATAGTTGGGATTTAATATTTGATATTTAGGCAAAATTCTTTAAAAATAAATCCTCGCCGTCAAACAAATGGCTGTAAATATACATAACAACAACTATTATATGGAAAGGAGTTCAATGCACTAAGGAAAGGATAAAGTATATCCAAGATGGAATAATATGGACACAAAATCTTAATTGATTTATAATTCCTAAATTTAAGACAAAATTTTTAATGTTACATAATGTTAGGTTTTGAAAGGTATTTTTAAGGAAGTCTTTATATAAGGTGAAATATTTATCGATTTTAAGGTTTTTAATACTAAGACTTCCTACATGGTTCAAAATAAGAAAATATTCAATAATTAAATTTTTAGTTGATTTCACACATGAAATTATCATTTTATTATTTTATAATATTTAATATTTTAAAATCAACTAAAATTTATGGTTCAAAATGTAGTTACTGGATTGTTCTCTTGCAATAGTAATTTATTCCTTTTTAATTTATCGGAGCAATTTATATAGTATTTTCTATTGATTAAGGAAATAGAATAATTTATATTTTTCTCCAGAGAAAGAAAAAGTTATCTTTAATTAGTTAACAGATCATGTTTTTGTTAATTAGAGAACTTGAAAATGACTGGAAAAATAGAATAATCTACAAAATACCTCTTTTATAATTTTTTTTTAAAAAAACTTTTAAATCCTTAAAGGCTATATGTTCTTGCTGAAACTAAGATAAGTCGTAAAATTTAGATGATGAAATTATAGACCTAAAACTAAATATAGTTGAATGGACAGAGTAATGATTGAAGAAATATATGAGACAAAAATTATTCCTTTATTGTGTTAGCTATAGATTATTAACAACCATCAATTCAAAAGCATATATTTTTAGTTTGTAATCTTACACAATTATTAATATAATATTTATAAGAAACTTCTTAAATAATCACTCACGAGATAGGTGCACGCGCAACGCAACTTTCCTAAGAAAAGTTATAGCTATGTTTTAAAAAGTATACTAGCTTTAATAATGACCATTCTGCAAATGGCCCGAAAAACAAGCAAATGGACCCAATATATATATATATCTATATATATATATATATATATATATATATATATTTTTTTTTTTTTTCCAACTCGAACTGCTTTCAGCTTTGGAATTTTGCTAGTTGCTTCTCTCTGTCGCCTTCTGCAGGGATCTCATCTCGTTTTGTTTATCTGACGCAATTAAATTGTATGTTTCTCTTTTTATCTCGCATGATTCTCCTTCTAAATATGTTTTCATTGTTTTCTATAATCAGACAATTATATCCTTTCTTTTTGAGCTGATATCAATAGTAAAACACTAATGATAATGTATTGATTAGGATGCCGTGTTTGCAATGATTATTTTTAGTTGTAAAACACGGAATTAAGGAATTTCTCTTTGTAATCCTTGTAACTTTACATGTTAAATGCACGTTTATATATGCTTTTCTAGCTGGAAGTAGTATTGCAATGGATTATTTATTTGCGTTTTAAGCAATAAACATAATTTTATTCTGAAAATATAATTGATTAATTGGTCTCTTGGGTGTTCGGAGAGAGACATAAAATTGGAAAAAAATAATTAACTAATTACAAATCATTTTCTTGAAATATCCAGTGGTTCTGGGAGCACAGTTGAGTGCAATGGATATATCAGATGTATCCTTATTGCAGATTCAGAAGCTAGTCATATTAAAGCTGTTTAAGTTCGTGTTTTAATAATCAAATTTTAACAGCTGGTAAGTCTTTGTCTGAAGTACTATACTTCCAGCAATAGGAAGAAACATAAAATGAGTACTAAGACCAATTAGATTTTGTCAAGATAGAAATTTCAGTTCTATTTGAAAACTCACAGTGCAGGAAATCACAAAGAGCGGACTGCATCCAATCAAGAGTTTATGAGGTAATTTATGCATCCGCGTCTTAGGTACTGACACAGAATGTAAGAAAATTTGAAATGTTGCAAAATAAAATGTAGTAGCATAGGAGACATCATTGTTGGAGTGACTTAGAAAATGTACAACCAGTAAGGTGCAATTATGTTCTTAAGATTTATCTCTCCTCGTTCGATCATCAGTCAGGTCAGAGAAGTAATAGTTCTAAACCGTTCTTTCATTATGCTCATTCCTTGTCTGAGGATATCTGAAAAATGCAGTGTCTTGCCATGTTTCCCATCTGAGGTCCTCTAAAGCAAAATTTCTGTGGTTCAAGCCTTTGAACATGTCTTTGTTCTTCCACCATGTGTTAATTCAGATTGTTATCCATAGTGACCGTAACTGTGTCGACTTCCGTTCCTTTGACGGGCAGCGTATCTGGAATCTCATTCAGATCAACTGATGATATGGGTACATCTATTAGAGAGGAGCTCCAGACTTGCAAATTGTCATCTGCTGTTCCAGAATGACCAGATCGTCTATCCTTGTCGGGACTTCTGCCTGGAAAATTCATGAGAGGCAAGTGACAATTTTTGTGTGAGAACTCCTCTCTGTGGGTGGTTCTTCACTTCTGAACTCATGTGAATTAGTGGACAAAGATACACAGAGATAAAAAACATGTTATATGTGAATATCAATGCACATGCAATCTTTTTTTTTGATAAGGTATGCACATACAATCTATTTCAAGTAATATGTTCCCCCCCGCTCTCCCTTACCACAGGTTGATTAGATTCCTCTGTGTTTGTAGAACTGATGGGCACATTCTCTTCCCTCTTTCACTCTATATGCTACTCACACTATTTGTTAGAACATGGCTGCAAAGAGTCTGATGTTTCAGGAATCTTCTTAGTAAATGTCAAAGATCATGCTAGAACAATTATCATGACTTTGCTACAATGTTGATAAACATCCCTAAATCTCTTTCAACTTCTGTACCTGACCCCTTGCTCCCTATAGATTGTATTATTCCCTTTCGGTCTGTCGCAAAATGCATTCTGCTTTCTAAATTGAAAATATTGTTCCTTAATTTAAAATTATTCCAATTGAATTTACAAAATGCTTTCCATGTAACTGACAATCAAAATCTTGCTTCTTTCCCTATTTATCAACTTTTGAAAGTTACACTATTTTAAAAGTTACAACAACAACAAACCCAGCTTAATCCCATACGTGGGGGTCTGGGGAGGGTAATGTGTACCAGCCTTACCCCTACCCTATAAAGGCAGAGACACTATTTTAAAAGTTGTATCCACATAAGTCTAGCACCTCTGTAGAGTCTTTGTCAAAGTGTCAATACAACTCTCCTTGATTAAAAAGAGAGTTATATGGAGATCAATTTATTATTATACCATCTCAACTTATGAGAAAAATTACTTCAACTCTATACTTGGCTTCAGTTTCTCTATAACACTACATGATTTCAACTTTTCTCCTTCCATAGCAGAAGTCAGTAGAATTTGGACAATGGGAGTATGATTCAAAGCCGTTTAGGCGGGGAAAGTAAGCTGTGCACTCGATACCATCGTAAGTTATTTCAAATTTCCAATTGGCTAACAGAATACTTTATCGGGATGGTAGAGGGCCGGGCTCATTATCCGCCGAGTTTCGAACCATACGCCTATAGCCCTTGGGGATTTCTCGGTTCACTTATCAATAAAAAAAAAAAAAATATTAGGATGTGGCTATGCCTGCATAAGTTTGTTGATGCTGGTAGATATACCAGAACTTGTCTTTCAAATATGTGATGTTTGTTTGGTTTCAATTTCGTATAGCTTTACAGAGGGAAATTTATTAACCTAAACAAGCTAAAGAAGATATGTACCTTGAGTTGTGGAGAGCCGTGGTCGTCCTCTAGGCCTCTTAACTGAGTGTCCCATTTTTTCTCCACAACAAGCACTTTGAGAATATAATTTCTGGCTGGAGACCTTAAACAAGCAATGGATGTCAAGCAGTAATCAAATAAGGAACTTCAGGTAGTTATGAAATATATGAGGAAGTACCAAAATCCAAATGACAAAAGAGGTTTAATATATGTTACTGTATTACATAACCTATCTGTGTACTGTAATCCATACATTAGCAAGTATGTTTAGTATTAATGCTGAAGGTCATATTGATGAATTAGCTGATATTTTGGGATGTGAGGTGGACAATACCCTACAGTATATCTGGGATTGCCGCTAGAGGTGAAGAAGAAAGAGAAAAATATTTGGCAAGGAGTAATTGATAGATGTACAAATAAGTTAACCCCATGGAAGAAACATCTATCATTTGGGGGTAGACTTATTCTAATTAGTACTGTGCTGGACGGAATGCCAACATATAACATGTCTCTGTTTTCTATGCCTATCGCAGTTGAGAACAAGCTGAACTCCATATGAATTGACTTCTTATGGAAAGGTAATGCAAAGAAAAGGAAGATTCACTTAGTTAAATGGCAAATGGTTACAAATGATAAGAAAGAGGGAGGTTTGGGAGTGAAGAATTTGAGATTGCACAATAAAAGCTTATTGTTTAAATGGCTGTGGAGATACAACAAGGGTGGTGATGGAATCTAGAAAAGGCTCATTGATACTATCTATCACAAGATGGATGATTGGAGACAAAGTCCCATACAGCTGAGGGTTGCAGGGGGAACCTGGAAGGGTATTAGTGGGGTTGTGGGAAGAATTCTTGCAACATACTAAGTGATGGGAAATGGGCTAGAATTAAGTTTTGGATACTTGGATTGGGAATTATAGTTTGAGAAGCAGATTTCCAGATTTATTCAGTTGTTCTGTGAATATGGATGGCTTTGTATCTGATTTTCTCTGAGTCAGGAAGGCAAATACAATTCTGGAGAAACTTAAATGATTGGGAGATAGAAGGTTACCGTCAACTCATTCAACAGTTGGAGTCAATTTCAGTGGATCAAAATTAGGAGGATGGTTTGATTTGGGTGAATAATAAGGACAATATGTTTGTTAATACTTGCTATAAGCTGCTACATAATCTTTCTGGTCAGGGGTTCCAAATTGGCCTTGGAAGAGTATCCAGAGAACTAAGGTCCCTGTCAAAGCTGCCTGTTTTGGATGGATTGTCACCTGGGAGGCTTGCTTAACTCAGAATAATTTACAGAAGATGGGTTTTGCTCTTAGTAGTATAAGGGTCTGAGTGTTTAGTTTCCTAGCAGTATTAAAAATGAAAATACATATTTTGCTCATTTAGGATTTTAGGCGCTGATCGTTCAGATGGGAAATTCTCAGTTGTGCAGTTTCAAGTGTCAATATGTCTATACTTGAAGATTCATAAATATAGCCTCTCAATTACATTTTTAGGTGGATGGATAATTTACCCTAGAGATTAAGAAGAAAAAGGGACAGAAGAAAATGTGTTATTTTTGTGATAGATGCAATGGAATGGACATAGTCTCATTTACTTGGAAAAAGAGAAGGGAAATAAAGTGGAACCAACATAAATGCGGAGGAGGTACAGATAAATAGTCGATTTTTTCCTTGGGCTTGTAGTTCTTTTTCTTTTTTTTGGTAATTAATCACTTTGTATTAATCACCGGTATAACTGTACAAAGCCATAACATCGCTTACACAACTAGCTATCTCATTACAAATCCAACAACCTATGTAAACATGTAGACTACAAAATCAAACAAACATAAAACTCTGTACTAATCTATGTATTCCAGTAGCAGCTCTAATGTCGCAAATGTAGGCTATTTCGCGTGCAATGGTATTCCATTCTCTCGGCCTTTTCCAAAAATCCTTAGATTCCTCTCAATCCAAATGGCATGTGATATTTCTGCATAAACCATCCGAAATAGTTTGGCTCTTTGGGAGTTTCCTTTAGCATTCTGAAGTACCCACTGCAGGTGTTGCTCCCAAGTATTTGTTGTCCTATATCCGTGCTGCATCCAGTGCATGATCTTACTCCATAAGCTCTTGGTAAAGACACATTTTACAAACATATGCTCCCTACTTTCATCATGATCATGACATAGTGCACATTGTGTCTCCACAGCCATTCCCCATTGTCGAAGCCTATCTGTAGTGAGAAGCCTGCCATGTAATAGCATCCACATGGTAAATTGTGCTTTAGGCCTTGCATTGTTTTGAAACATTAAACATTTTCAATTCACACGAGGCCTATCGCCCAGCAACTGTAAGTATATGTGCATGGTCAAACTAGTCCCAGAGTTATTCCCTTTGCACCTGGTTCATAGTTGCTCGAGCATTAAAGATAGGTCTGATTATCCAACAAGCTTGCTTAGGCATTGCTACTTGCAAAAATTGCTGTTCTTTGATGTAGTAGGAGGGGATCCATTTGATCCACAACCTGTCTTGTTTATTTTCCACATCCCAACACACTTTGGCAATAGCAGCTTTGTTCCACAATTGAATATTCACTAGATTCAGGCCTCCACTAGACTTAGGAGAACAAATCTTCTCCCATGATACCAGGGCCTTCTTAGTAATATTATTGGATGTAAACCAAATGTAGTTCCTATAATAAGCATCCATAAGCTTCAACACCTTGACAGGAAGTGGAAGCAGTTGAGCCCTTATCTTCTCCTCCAACCGCTACCTCCTCCCGACATGAAGGAATGCCCAATAATCCTTCAAGGGCTGGTATGTCCTTTCAGTTCTGGTCCGGGGAAGGCCGATCAAAGAAAGGACTCCAATACTGCCTGGTGCTGATTCAGCAATTTGCATCCAGTAAGCTTGGATGCCAAATACCACACTTTGCACTAACTGTACCCTCCCTGCATAGGATAGTTTCTTAGCTGTCCACGAGGATATTCTTGCCACTATCTTTTGAATAAGGGGCTGCCATTGAATCAGTGAGATCTTCTTAGTTGATAGTGGTATGCCCAAATATTTGAAAGGCAATTCTCCATGCCCATAACCAGGTGTTTTAGAATTCTAGTTCTCTCAGGTGGAGAGACCCCTCAAAAGTACACAGAGCTTTTTCCCAAGCTGGCTTGGAGTCTTGAAGATTGTGAGAAATGGCCGAAGCATCTATACATGGCATCAACTGACGGTAAGTCTCCTCTTGCAAACAAAAATAAGTCGTCAGCAAAGCTTAAATGTGTGATGCCCAGTTTAGCACACTTTGGATGATATTTGGATTCTTTGATTCCTTTCAGTCCATTTAAGCTTCTATTGAGGTACTCCATGACAATTGCAAATAGGAAAGGGGAGACTCCTTGTCTAAGTCCTTTAGCAACATCAAATGGATCAGTAGTTTCCCAATTTATCAATATAGTATAATTGACAGTCTTGACACATTTAAGTATCTAGCCAGTAAACTTTGTAGGGAAGCCCAATGTATCCATTACCTATCATACATGACCAATTCATGAGAAAGGATAATGTTATCAGCTATTCTTCTCCCGGGTATGAAACCAACCTGATTTGCACTGATTATAGATGCAATGATCCTCTGTATTCTTGCTGCTAACACCTTGGAGATTCGCTTATAAAGTAAGGTACAACAAGCTATAGTTAAGTCTTTCACAGTAATAGGTTTATCAACCTTAGGGACTAATGTTATGGTGGTACAATTTATGGCTTTGTACATTCTACCAGAGGTAAAGAAGTCTTTCACAAACCTCCTCCTTAATAATTGGCCAGGTTCTCTTGAAGAAATGAGCATTGTAACCATCCATTCCTGGTGCCTTGTCATCACCAATAGCCTGTAATCCTTCAAAGATTTCTTGATCAGTGACTTCTGCACATAGGCACATAGCTGAAGTCTTTGCTGTTGTGAGAGGGTAGGTCCTTGCTTCATGATCTCCCTGATGATAGCAAGAAGAGTCTGGGCAGCAGTCCCATCAAGGATTTGTAGAACTCAATAATTTCATGTTTTATCCCCTCAGGGTCATTTAGTCATTTAGTGTCTGTCCATCTGGAGAGGTAATTTCTTTGATCTGCTTCTTCTGAGTCCTTTCCTTCACTATAGCAGAAAAGTACCTGGTGTTTGAATCCCCAAGCTTAACCCACTTAGCTCTAGATTTTTGCTTCAGTACACTTTCCTCTACGAGGGACCATTTTTCTAGCTGATGAAGCATAGCTTTCTCCTAGTCCAGTAGGTAATCAGTACACTGTGAAACAATTTGCTACTGAATACCTTGAAGTTCACCTCCAGCCTGGTTAATATTAGTAGTAATAGTTTTGAATTCTTCATTGTTCAATATTTTGAGTCTAAGCTTTAGAGCTTTAAGTTTTAGCCAAATATTCTTCATTCTCGACTCTGCTAAATTCTGACCCCATACATTTTACACTAGCTGTAAGAAGTTAGCATGGTTTGCCCAAACATTTAAAAATTGAAAGGAATTTTCCCAAACCTAGCAGCTGTTCAGATTGAGAGCAACATAGGTGAATGATCAGAAATTAGGGGCAGATCATATTCAGTTTGCACATGCCCTTATTGTATCATCCATTCAAAATTTCCAAAGACACTGTCAATTCTACTACTAACTCTATCTGGTCCATGCTGCTTATTTGACCAAGTATAGTAGTCTCCCTTCCGTGGCAATAAACTAAACTGCAATATCATGAATACAAGCAGAGAAGTCCTGAGTTTCAGCATATGTTATAGGATACCCAACAACCTCTCTTGAGGGTATAGTACAACACTGAAATCTCCACATATTATCCAAGGTGCAGTTATATTTGTAGCCAAACCCTGCATGTCAGCCCATAATGCTTTCCTTTGCTCAGTACTATTATATCTATAAACAACAATCATTAAGCAATCCAATTTCCCAGAATTATCTCTTAGATGGCAATGCAAGAATTGTGCACCGACTTTTAATAAGTTCATAGTATACCATCGTGAATCCCTAAGGAGCCAGATTCTACCATTCTGAGCATATTGGTAGTTAGTAAAAACATTCCAGTCAGGTACAATAGCTTTGTTAACTCTGTGTGAGTTATGTTCTTTCACTGTTGTCTCTATCAATCCACCTAGTTTGATATTCCTATTTTTAATATAGTGATGTAGCTCTTTTTGTTTATAACTCTTATTGACTCCCCGAACATTCCAAAATAGCCAGTTGATCAACATGTAAGATGGCCTCTACCTCTGTCAAGGGCAATTGGTGTATATCTCCAGTCCCACAGGGTAATACATCAAAAGAATTTTTTAAGGGAAGTTTTGCCTGATTAAACTCAGGGCTACTTTCCACTTGTTTCCCTCGATGACACTCCTTGGACACAGGGGCATCATTTGGAGTTCGGCTGTTTCTTTGCCTTTGGCTAGTTTCTGTGAGAATGCACGGGAGAAAATCTATATTGATCAGTTAATTATAATACAGTTACCCCTATTTATAACTATACATAATACAAATCCTACTCCTATTCAATATGGGACACGAACTAATTACATATTAACTACATTACTATCTAACACTCCCCCTCAAGCCGGTGCATATAAATCATTTGTATCGAGCTTGTTACATATGTAACTAATACGAGGACCAGTGAGAGACTTGTTGAAAATGTCTGCAAACTGATCATTCGACTTCATAAACATTGTAGCCATATCTCCCGAGAGTATCTTTTCTCTGACAAAATGACAGTCAATCTCAATGTGTTTAGTACTCTCATGGAACACCATATTTGATGCAATATGAAGGGCAACTTGATTATCACACACAAGTTCTATCTTGCCGATCTCACCAAATTTCAACTCATTAAGCAAATGTTTGATCCAAACTAGCTCATATGTTGCCACGGCCATTGCTCGATATTCTGCTTCTGCACTAGACCGAGCAACCACATTTTGTTTCTTACTCTTCCAAGACCCAAATTACCTCATACTAAAACACAATATCCAGATGTAGAATGTCTATCAGAAGGTGATCCTGCTCGGTCAGCATCTGAGTACCCAACAATTTGCTCATGGCCTTGATCTTCAAACAACAATCCTTTGCTTGGAGCTGATTTTATATATCAAAGAATGCGGACAACTGCATCCCAATGACTATCACAGGGAGAATCCAGGAATTGACTTACCACACTCACAGGAAAGGAAATGTCAGGTCTAGTCACTATGAGGTAATTTAATTTATCAACTAGCCGCCTATATCTTGCAGGATCACTAAGCAGCTGCCCTTGTCCTGGTAGAAGTTTAGAATTTGGATCCATAGGACTGTCAACGAGTCTACAACCTGTCATTCTTGTCTCCTCAAGAATGTCTAAGGCATACTTCCGTTGTGAGATTACAATACCTGAGTTAGACTGAACGACCTCAATACCTAGAAAATACTTTAATCTGCTCAGATCCTTAGTCTGAAAGTGCTGAAAGAGATGTTGCTTCAACTCAATAATACCATCCTGATCATTGCCGGTAATAACAATATCATCAACATAAACCACCAGATAAATACTGAGATTTGAAGCAGAATTACGAGTCATGCGAGGAGACTGCTTTAGACCATAGAAGGACCGGCGCAACCGATATACAAGGCCACTAGACTCACCTGAGCAACAAAACCAGGTTATTGCTCCATATAAACCTCATCCTCAAGGTCACCGTGAAGAAAAACATTCTTAATGTCCAACCGATAGAGAGTCCAATGGCGAATAGCAGTTAGAAAAAGGCGGACTGTTGCTATTTTAGCCACGGGAGAGAAAGTATCGCTGTAATCGAGCGCAAATATTAGTATACCCTTTGGCAACAAGACGAGCCTTAAGTCGATCAACTTGGCCATCTGGATTGGATTCAATGCATTGGATCCAACGGATTGTGAGTCAAAGGCTTCTGATACAAATGACATTAATATATAACTCGTATAAGTAGTATATAGGTGTGATAAGAGAGGGAGGTAAGATCCTCCACCTCCAAAGATAATATTGTAATAACCCGAAATATTTTTATATAATTATTAATTGTGATTTATTTGTAGCTATTAAGTCAGATACTAAGCTAGTATACAAGATAAGATAGTGTATTAAACAAGTAGCTAGTGGGCTAATTACATATTACAAATTAAGAATTTAAAGTAAGTGACTTTGGTTAATTTTTTTTGTAAAGATGTAAAGTGTGTCGGGCCCACAATTTACTAGTGGGTCACGTAAACTTACTCTAGGGTATATAGATGGAAATTCAAGTTCCCTACTATGAGAAAGCAAAAAAAAAAAAAAAAAAAAAAAAAAAAAAAAAAAAAAA